GCCCGGCGGAAGCGGAAGCGCGGGAGGACGTTCTAATGCTGTAGGACATACAGAGAGATTTAATGGCAATGCGCTGAGGGAGGGTTTTAACATCACGCATTCTTTTGTGCAGATTGGTTTGGGCAGAGGATTTAAGCTAAGGCCCAAGCGAGTGCCGTGCAGCTTAGGGGATGTAGATGTTTTGGGGAAAAGGGCAAATTTGGGAATAGGTCAGTGTGAGGACAGCAGAAATTACAATTCAGACCTTCTGGTCTGCTCCTCAAGTTTGCATAAGGACAGTGTTTCCAACAGCGTGATAGCTAAACCGCCAGCATTAGAATCACACCTATAATATTAGGGATGCTGGGGACAAGACTTACAGAGGTGAATTTTTAAATAAATTCCCAGGTGATTTTTGTGTGCACCAATGATTGAGACCCTCTGGTGTAGGTAATGGAGGCAAGTAAACTAAAATTCAGTGTCCCCACTACTGCATGTTGGAAGGAAAAATAATGAAGAAAAAGAAGCAGGCCCATTCAGATTTTATCTTTACTTTGTTTCCTTTATTACGACTATGGGATCATACAGCTTTCAGAAAATTTCCTTAAAGGAACTATAGAATAAAATTTAAGTCACACTCCTTTGCCCGACACTTTTATACAGAAGATATATAGTTTGGGACTCCAGCTTTCAAGATAGGGACCTAAAGATCATAAAAGCAGAGACATCCGGGGACCCTTGTCTTGAGAATGCTTCAGAAGGGCATCGTAGAAGCTTCTTGGTCTCCTTGATTTCATTCTCACTTTCCCTTGGTTGACCTCAAAACTAACACAAAACACAACCATTCAGGTGGGCTAATGACTGCACATCATTCTTTCAATCACTAAAAACAAAAGCATTGAATACTATTCTAGGTGTTGAGAATACAACAGGGATCAAAACAGATATTTAGATTAACTTCGTTGTGTGCTTTCTTTGATTAAAACACTAAGCCATTAAAGAATGCCCCAAAAGATTCACAACTTTAAAAGGAAAATTAGTATATATTATCATAAATACAGGGATGGGCAGAAGTAGGTTTACAATTGTTCGTATGGGCCCTGGCTGGTGTGGCTCGGTTGAGTGGTAGTCCCACGCACCAAAAGGTTGATCATCCGATTCCTGGTCAGGGCACATGCCCTGGGGTGTCAGGCTCAACCCTCCATAGGGGGCATGCAGGAGGCAGCTGATTGATGTTTGGCTCTCACATCAATGTTTCTTTCTCCCTCTCTCAAAAAAAAAAAAAAAAAAAATCAATGAAAAATTATTTTTAAAAATTGGTCGTATGGAAAAAAGACATGCAGGTTATGATATTTACAGTGGCTTTATTAACTCAAAAGAATGGTACAGTAAACCTACTTTTGCCCACTTCTGTATATAATGCATCATAAACGTTAAATAATATCATAGTGGGCTCTGCTACTAACTAGATGTGTGACTTGGGCTAGTAGCTAAGCTCTCTGAGCCTTTAGTTTGTTCTACAAAATGGGAATCGTAACATCTTCCGAAGCCAGATGAAGAGCACTAGATGCTCTTAGTAATGCGAAGCACTCTCTAATATGTACTTTAAAATACTAAGTATAATGTTGAAAAAAGTTCTGATTTTTCTAATATTGGCTACAGTACTCTAATGTTCTTTTTTAAGTAGGATATCAAATGTCAATTTTCTCCAAACAAATTTGGGTGCCCCAGTTTTGCTGGTGCACTTAGCTCACACTCAGTCACTAGTAATCCAGTGCTGCCTACTTCACACAGTTATTTCAAAGATTAAATGAAATAAGGTATATAATAGTACCTAATACAATGCCAGTCAGTTGAATTGGACTCTTTGTATGTCACATAGAAGAAATTTCATTTATTCCGTCAGCATATTTATGTGCCCATTATATGTAGAACACTGTGCTCGCTCTCTCTGACAAGGAGTTTCAGTGCCAAACTTCAAGGGTTTTTTTGGTGTTTTTTTGTTGTTGTTAATCCTCACCTGCTGATATTTTTTCCATTGATTTTTTAGAGAGAGTGGGAGGGGGAGAGACAGAGAGAGAGAGAAACATTGATGTGAGAGAGATAAGAGACACATCAATTGGCTGCTTCCCACACGTGCCCTGGCCGGGGATCGAACCTGCAACCAAGGTACATGCCCCAGATGGGAATCAAACCTGTGACCCTTCAGTTGGAGGGCCGACGCTCTAACCACTGAGTCACACTGGCTAGGTCTCCATCCCCTTTTTAACTACTGGAAATGTTCCACAAATAAATGTTTTCTTCATCAAAAAAAATAATTCACCAGTTCTACTCTACAAATATTTATTAAGCATTCACTGTGAATTGGGTACTACGGTAGATGATAGGCACTGCTGCCTTTGAAATTAATTGTGATACTGTGATATAAAAACAAATATATATTTGGTTTTTATCCTTGGTTCCTGGCACAGAGCTTGTAAAACCCTTGTAGTTTATTGAATGATAGGAGAGGAACATTTTTTGCTACTCATAATAAACCCATTAAGCCATTTGAACCATACCTGAATTTATGCTAATGAGGTAACCTGGAGGATGGGGGCTGGTTGCCAGAGGAATTAACCATGAAATGAGGGGGTTACAACTTTCAGCCCCATTCTGCACTTCTGGGGAGAGGAGGGGAGCTAGGAACAAACTTAATCACCAACAACTAATAATTTAATCAATCATGCCTAGTTAATGAAGCCTCCATGAAAACCCTAAATGACTGGGTTTGGAGAGCTCATGGGCTGGTGGACACAGGGAGGTGCTGGGTGGGTGGTGAGCCCAGAGAGGGAATGGAAGCTCCAAGCCCCTCCATACACCTATGTATCTCTTCCATTTGGCTGTTCCTAAGTTGTATCCTTTATAATAAACTGGCAGTAGTAAGTAAAGTGCTTTCCTGAGTTCTGTGAGCTGTTCTAGCAAATTGTCTAACTGAAGGAGGGGGTTGTGGTAACTCCTGACTTATAGCTGGTTGGTCAGAAGTACAGGTCACAACCTAGGACTTGTGACTGAGCCTTTAAACCTGTGGGGGCTGCACTAAGTCCAGGTAGTGTCAGAATTGTTTAATGTGAGGAAAACAACTCACTGATTTGTTTTCAGAAGTGTTGTAAACAGAGTAGGAAACAAGTTTTCCCTTTCATTGACCATTGCTACTTTCTTAGAAATGATCAACACTGACTGTCATGAAACCACACAGCTTCTCTTAAAAGTGCTTCTCAAACATTTCCAGAGGAGGTCTCCTAGCCCTGAGGCCCTTTTATCACTAGGTATCTAGGGATTTAGCAAGAATTGGGCCACACATGTTAAAAATTATCTTTAAAATCCGTAAGAATTTTGCCCTCTGCTCCATTTTAATATTAAAATACTGTTTAAAATTCTTATCATCATGAGGGGAAAGTCTTTTTCTAAAAACCATGTTATATTAATTAGAAATATGTTTAGCTACAACGAACAGAAAACCTGAACATTGGCTTAAAAACTGGAAGGTGTGGGATGGCATTTTTTTCACATAACAAGACATTTGGAGGCCAACAGTGATGTCAAGGTCAGTGATTTTACAATTATCTTGTTGCTCCAAGATTGCAGCACATTCAATGCAGCTTCAGATAAGATGTTCAAGTTGAAGGCAGGAGGGTATGAGGAAATCACATGTACCTGCAAGGGAGGCCAGAAAATTAGGGAACTCTGATGTTGTGACTTGCTTACAGTAAAACTTAAACTACCAAGCAGACAGAATCCCCTGGTGGGCTGGTGAAAACATGGATTGCTAGGACCCACCCCCAGAGGTTCTGATTCAATAGGTTTCAGGTGGGGCCTGGGAACTTGCATTTCTAACAAGTTCCCAGGTGCTGCTGCTGGTCCTGGGACCACACTTTGAGAACCACTGACTTAGACCAATCATGATTAATTGCCTGGCACTGGCACACTGCTGCCCAGAAGCATGGCCACATTAGCATTTTAAAATACTTTTACAGCTATATTTCTGTTTTAATTTTACACAGATAAAAATAAACTCAAGCAGGGGCAAAACCAAGAAGTCTTTACAGATACCAATAGGTCTTCAGTGCACCCAGCTCTCTTTCTGGAGCCTTAAAGGCCTCAGACTCTGAGACAACAGGGCTTTACAGCTCTCTAACTTCCATTAAAATCAACTGGATCTGATGTCATAGAGAATACTTTAACTGAAGTTTATCCTTAACATCATATGACTCTCACAGCTTTCATTAGTCACAGTCGGCAAGGAACAAATGGTGCACTCAAATTAGGAATTTTGAAAAACAGTGTAATAAAGGGACTATTTCCAAAGGTGCAGAGACAGGGTAGAGGTAAGTCAAAAGGCCTAATCCCTTTGGGTTAGTAAAGGGAGGTGCATTGTCATCCATATGCCTACAGGGATGAGTATAGGAAGGGTTTGCAGAAACCTGATAGAGGGTTGTGTGTAGGTTGTGTGTAGAGGGTCCCATGTCAAGAACTCTGACTCTTGGTGAAGGACATATAGGGAGCCTTCATCAAGTAGGAAATAAATACCCAAACCTCACTCTGCTCCCTCCCTTTGATCTCTTGTAAGTGCTTCTCATTGGCCAAACCTAACTGGAGCCTGTTGATACTATTCATATAGGTCACAGAACAGGATGGAAAAAGGTGAAGGGACAGCTGGATACCTGGAGGGACAACAAGAGCTATCCAGCACACACACATTTGCATTTTCTTTTTTAAATATATCTTTATTGATTTCATAGAGAGGAAAGGAGAGGGAGAGAGATATAGAAACATCAATGATGACAGAGTCATTGATCAAGCCCACAACCTGGGCATGTGCCGTGACCGGGAATTGAACCCCCATGGCCTGGATCCCAGGTCCATGCTCAACTGCTGAGCCACGCCCGGATGTGTCACATTTGAATTTTTATACCATTTATTTCTGGTAATAGAATTATTTTTATCTGTAGTTGAAGAAAATTCAAATCATAAAACAAGAAAAATATTAGAAGAAATTCCTAAATCATTTCTCAAAGATGGTCTGACAGCCCCAGAGGGTCCTCAAGGTCAAGACCAGTTTCACAATAATACTAACACATTATTTGCCAATTTCACTCTCATTCTTTCAGAATACAGTGAAGTTTTCCAGAGGCTATATAACACATTGCAAAAGCAGATACAGATTCCAACTGTTCTATTAAGCCAGAGATTGAGTTTTACAAAAATAGAGACAATATCATTCCTCACTAATATTTTTATTGTTTTAGAAAATATACTTATGCTTCACCAAAAAAAAAAAAAAAAAGCTATTTATATAAACAGACTGGGTTTTTATTTAATGAATTAATATATGTTTTTAAATTTCTCAATTTTAATTTCTAGTATAATAAATGTTTATAGATATAACCCACACAAACAAAAGCTCTTTGGACACCTAATGATTTGTAGGACGGCATAGGGATCCTGAGACCAAACCGACTGAGAACTGCTCTAAATCATGCTCCACCTAAGGCTAGTTCCAAAGATAAACCAGCTTTAGTCAGTTGAATGAGCTAGGGAGAAGGAGGATGGGAAGGAAAGGATGACCTAGAAGACAAAGTGCCTGCCTTCCCTTATTTTCTTTCTTTTTTTTTTTTTTAATATATTTTTATCCATTTCAGAGAGAGGAAAGGAGAGGGAGAGAGAGATAGAAACATCAATGATGAGAGTCATGGATCAGCCGCCTCCTGCATGCCCGGTGCTGGGGATCGAGCCCACAACCAGGGCATGTGCCCCGACTGGGAATCGAAGCACGACCTCCTGGATTCTAGGTTGATTATCAAACGCTGAGCCATGTCAGCTGGACTTCCCATATTTTATTTTATTTTCTTCCCCTTTACTGATTTAAGCCTTTTCTGGTTTCCTCTCCTGAGTGAATTGCTACAGCGCTTTGCTGCTCCAATTCTAGACTACTTTACCCTATTCTGCCTCATACTTTAATTATTTAGGTAATTATTGTTCTAACATTCTACCCTCTCTGTGTGCACACACACACAGGATGAGTTCTTTTTAAATTTTTTTTTAAAATTTATTGATTTTATTTATTTTTTTTTAATCCTTACCTGAGGATATTTTTTCCATTGCTTTTCAGAGAGAGTGGAAGGAGGAGGTAAGAGAGAGAGAGAAACATCGCTAGGAGTGAGACACATCAATTGGTTGCCTCCAGGGATGGAGCCTGCAACCTAGGTACGTGCCCCTGTGCAGAACCGAACCTGGGACACTTCAGTCTGAGGGCCAATGCTCTAACCACTGAACCAAACAGGCTAGGGTAATTTATTGATTTGAGAGGAAGGGGGGGGGGAGAGAGAGAGAAGCATGAGTTTATTATCCCATTTATTTATGCATTCATTGGTTGCTTCTTGTATGTACCCTGATTGGAGATTGAACCCATAATATATGGGGACAACACTCTAAACAACTAAGCTACCTAGCCAGAGCCAGCATTAGAAGTTCTTAACCTGGGGTCCATAGAGTCCAAGGGGATTAAAATCACAAGTTTATGAACTCAAATGGGGGGGAAAATTACACATTTATTTTTACTAACCTCTAACTGAAGTTTAGCATTTCTTTCTTATGAATGTAGACAAGAAACAGCAGCAGCACTGTTACCGCACTAAAGGGATCCATTTGCCCGCAAAGCCCAATAAAACTCAAAAAGAAGTTTGCAGCAAAGAAAGTAGAGGTTTATTTAAGGAAATGACACCAAGCCTGGAGTCCCTGATGAGCTAATGCTCTAAGATCTGGCTCCCTGATGTCTCACACTGCTATAGATTATATACCGGAAAAATTATTAATCATGGTGACTAAGGAGTCATGGGTTCTACTGATTGGTTGGGGCCGGGGTAAGGAGTATCTGATCATTGTATCAGCTCCGGAGGTCAGCCATGGCATTGTTCTGCCTGGTTTTGTGAGGGTGTGGTTCCACTTTCATGAGCAGGGGCTGAAACAGAACCGAAGACAGTATGTTATCTTTAGTTTGACCCAAAA